TTCTGGGGTAGAGGGGATAACCTGAGACCAAACTGGGAACTGTCTGGGAGAAACACTCTGAAAAAACAGAGTGGACAGATTCCTCCCCAAAAAATGACATCTGATAGCCTAATATTTTTGAACACAACTCCAAAGTTGGCAAAATGACTCTTCAAGTAATCTACATAAATACTTTTGCAACAGCTAAAATGGGTGTTTGTTCAGGTTAATGTAAATGCTAAATCCCTCTGGCAGCTGAACTGCTTTTTATAAATGGTTTTAAGTTCAATAATATAAAGAAAAATACCTGTATGTCACAGAAAAATCATCCACACCTTTAAACCTTCACAAATTATTCATTTCAGAGTCAAAGTAATGCAAATGCCCAGTGTAACTTTGAGACACAGGATCTTTTAACTACAGAACTTAAACCTGAAATACATCACACATACTCATCCACAATGATTGTATTGAAGATTATTGTCACTCTTTAATCATTTAAGAGAATGATGTGGAGTATAATTTGAATAAATACTTATACTTGATATTTTTTAATGTCATAAAACTTCACAGAAAATTTTCTTAATCTTAGTCTCTATCTCATGTTGTAGCACATACCATGCTTATTTTAACAATGAGGCAGTGTCATATTGGAGCTTAGAGTATTCCCAAGAGTAGAAGAAATGTTGTATTCATTACTAGAAATCAAACCACTCAAACACCAACAATTGGAGGTATATTCATAATGCAGGCTGCATTTATTCTTTAAGAAAATATCTATGTTTTAAGTTATATAGAAGTACATATAGTGTGTTCTTTTCTTTGCCTGTTTTCCCATACTTTGAGGCAATGGTTTGATTGTTGTTAATGTATAAGTGAATTCTTGTATGATAAATAAGACTTCCACAAATGAAAACATTAACAGAAATGTAGATGTAACCAACCATCTTATTAAATAAGAAACACAGAACCAATGCAAAGAAGAAAGCCAAGAGGTCAAAGCTAAGAGCTAAAACCTTATCCTTCCTCCTGTGGTGGTCCTACCTCCACGAAAGAGAGCTACTTGCTGTGTTAAAGTCTTTATATAGACTTTCTGT